AATTACCTGAAACGGACATGCGAAGCTCGAGTTATGGCCGTTTGAATTTCCTTTTTATTTTCTCATCTTATTTCTACTCGCCTAAGAATGAGTAAAAGGAATTTTTTGAAAAGTTGGCTTGTTCAAACCGCCTTACGGCAGTTTGGTTGCGTAAATATCTAAAAAATACGCAGGTTCAAAAAAAAATCGCCTGAAACGGACATCCGAAGACCGAGTTATGGCCGTTAGAAGTTTCCCAAATTCACAGCTACCTTCAATCCTTAAGATGTTGAATTTTCAAATGATTGTAACTTTTGACTAGAATGTCCTTTTGAAACAATTTTTTTTTTGATTCCTCGTATTTTCGCGAGATCTATTTGAAAAACTCATCCTCTTTAATTGAATTTCCTTTTTATTTTTTTATCATATTTCTACTCGTATAAGAATGAGTAAAATGCTTTTTTTGAAAAATCGGATTGCTCAACCCGCTTTACGACAGTTTGGCTGCGTAGATATCGAAAAAATACGCAGGTTAAAAAATAATAGTCTGAAACGGACATCCGAAGACCGAGTTATGGTCGTTTGAAGTTTCCCAAATTCACAGCTACCTTAAATCCTTAAGATGCTGAATTTTCAAATGATCGTAACTTTTGACTCGAATGTCCTTTTGAAGCAATTTTTTTTAATTCCTCGTATTTTCGCAAAATCTATTTGACAAACTCATCCCCTTTAATTGAATTTCCTTTTTAGTTTTTCATCATTTTTCTACTCGTATAAGAATGAGTAAAAGACGTTTTTTGAAAAATCAGATTGCTCAACCCGCTTTACGACAGTTTGGCTGCGTAGATATCAAAAAAATACGCAGGTTCAAAAAAAAATCGCCTGAAACGGACATCCGAAGCTCGAGTTATGGCCGTTTGAATTTCCTTTTTATTTTCTCATCTTATTTCTACTCGCCTAAGAATGAGTAAAAGGAATTTTTTGAAAAATCGGCTCGTTCAAACACCCTTACGGAAGTTTGGTGGCGTAAATATCGAAAAAATACGCAGGTTCAAAAATAAAATCGCCTGAAACGAACATCCGAAGACCGAGTTATGGCCGTTTGAAGTTTCCCAAATTCACAGCTACCTTCAATCCTTAAGGTGTTGAATTTTCAAATGATCGTAACTTTTGACTCGAATGTCCTTTTGAAACAATTTTATTGATTCCTCGTATTTTTGCGAGATCTTTAAGATGCTGAATTTTCAAATGATCGTAACTTTTGACTCGAATGTCCTTTTGACGCAATTTTTTTTTATTCTTCGTATTTTTGCGAGATCTATTTGAAAAACTCATTACCTTTAATTGAATTTCCTTTTTATTTTTTCATCATATTTCAACTAGTATAAAAATGAGTAAAAGACGTTTTTTGAAAAATCGGATTGCTTCACCCTCTTTACGACAGTTTGGTTGCATAAATATCAAAAAAATACGCAGGTTCAAAAAAGAAATCGTCTGAAACGGACATCCGAAGACCGAGTTATGGCCGTTTGAAGTTTCCCATATTCACAGCTACCTTCAATCCTTAAGATGCTGAATTTTCAAATGATCGTAACTTTTGACTCGAATGTCCTTTTGAAGCAATTTTTTTTGATACCTCGTATTTTCGCAAGATCTACTTGAAAACCTTATCCCCTTTAATTGAATTTCCTTTTTATTTTTTCATCATATTTCTACTAGAATAGAAATGAATAAAAGTCATTTCTTGAAAAATCGGATCGCTCAACCCGCTTTACGATAGTTTGGCTGCGTAGATATCGAAAAAATACGCAGGTTCAAAAAAAATCCCCTACAACGATCATCCGAAGCCCGAGTTATGGCCGTTTTAAGTTCCGTTTTTCACAGCTACCTTCAATCCTTAAGATGCTGAATTTTCAAATGATCGTAACTTTTGACTCGAATGTCCTTTTGACGCAATTTTTTTTTATTCTTCGTATTTTTTCGAGATCTATTTGAAAAACTCATTCCCTTTTAGTTGAATTTTCTTTTTATTTTTTCATCATATTTCTACTCATATAAGAATGAGTAAAACACATTTTTTGAAAAATCGAATTGCTCAACCCACTTTACGTTAGTTTGGCTGCGTAGATATCAATAAATACGCAGGTTCAAAAAAAAGTCGCCTGAAATGGACATCCGAAGCCCGAGTTATGGCCGTTAGAAGTTTCCCATATTCGCAGCTACCTTCAATCCTTATGATGCTGAATTTTCAAATAATCGTGACTTTTGACTCAAATGTCCTTTTGAAGAATTTTTTTTTATTCGTCGTATTTTCGCGAGATCTATTTGAAAAACTCATCCCCTTTAATTGAATTTCCTTTTTATTTTTTCATCGTATTTCTATGCGTATAAGAATGAGTAAAAGGCGTTTGTTGAAAAATCGGATCGTTCAACCCGCTTTACGACAGTTTGGCTGAGTAGATATTGAAACAGACATCCGAAACCCGAGTTATGGCCTTTTGAATTTCCGTTTTTCACTGCTGCCTTCAATCATTAAGATGTTGAATTTTCAAATGATCGTAACTTTTGACTCGAATGTCCTTTTGACGCAATATTTTTTTTGATTCCTGGTATTTTTGCGAGATATAATTGAAAAACTCAATCCCTTTAGTTGAATTTTCTTTTTATTTTTTCATCATATTTCTACTCATATAAGAATGAGTAAAAGGTGTTTTTTGATAAATTGAATCGCTCAAACCGTCTTACAACATTTCGGTTGCGTAGATATCGAAAAAATATGCAGGTTCAAAAAAAAAATCGCTTGAAACGGACATCCGAAGCCCGAGTTATGGCCGTTTGAATTTCCTTTTTATTTTCTCATCTTATTTCTACTCGCCTAAGAATGAGTAAAAGGTGTTTTTTGATAAATTGAATCGCTCAAACCGTCTTACAACATTTCTGTTGCGTAGATATCGAAAAAATACGTTGGTTCATAAAAGTAATCGCTTGAAACGGACATCCGAAGCCCGAGTTATGGCCGTTTGAAGTTTTTCAAATTCACAGCTACCTTAATTTTTAAGATACTGAATTTTCAAATGATCGTAACTTTTGACTCGAATGTCCTTTTGACGTAATTTTTTTTTTGATTCCTCGTATTTTTTCGAGATCTATTTGAAAAACTCATCCGCTTTAATTGAATTTCCTTTTTATTTTGTCATCATATTTCTACTCATATAAGAATGAGTAAAAGGTGTTTTTTGAAAAATCGGCTCGCTCAAAATGCCTTATGGTAGTTCGGTAGCGTAGATATCGAAAAAATACGCAGGTTCAAAAAAAAAATCGACTGAAACGGACACCCGAGGCCCGAGTTATGACCGTTTGAATTTACT